GTCAACTGTTGCTCATCAAAAACCTTACCGCTCCTCTCCCACACATGATCACAAGAGACAGTGTTTAGACTTGTCCCGCTTCACGGTGCACATCAAGAAGCGTGATAGGAAAACGGTTGGCGGTGCAACGCTACTAGTTAAAACTGCCCGTTAGTTTGACTCCCACTAGTGGGCGAAATATTAAACTTCTTTGCTAGGTGATACTCCCTCCTGCCTAAAATATAAGGCGCGGTTTGATTTTTCTGGTCTTCGTTACGGAACTTTAACTATGATTTTTATGTATTCTATGTCTATAAAATTAGTATACGTACATATGAAATAAAATTGTTCTGCAAGATAAATACGATGATGCCATTTATACATGTTCAATCCATATACATTGATATATATTAGTGGTCAAAGTCGTGCATCAAAGACCGTAAAAAGAAGTTACACTTACACATGCATAGATCCTTACTCGAGTCGCTAATTCATGAAACACGACACACACGGGATGAATGGTAGAGGAGCGTGGGCATATGTTATCTTCTCAAGCTCCTGCTAGCGTGTGTCGTGAAGGAATCATTCTTATACGTTGGTTCAACGCACGTTTCACTGGTGGAGTTAGAGCATCTACGGTCGGGTGTCCAAACCTGTCTCAAACGCCCGGGCGGCCTGTCTGATCACTGACCGGTCACGAAAATCTGACCCAGACGGACGCCTCAAATGCCCGGCCTGGCCGACACCCCTCATGTCCAGCCTAAACATGGAGCGGATGTGGGGCGCCTGAGCGTGTTCGCCATGTAGGACTGACGATGGGGTCTCATGCGGAATTGCCGAAAACCCGGCGGTCCGACGGACGCCTTCTCCGTCACCACGGTGTGACGCCGCGCGGTGCCGCTCTGGCTCGCCGCCCGAGGACAAATCCGGCTATTTAAGCATGCCGGTGTCCCCCAACCCTAGCCCAATCACCCCCTCCCTCTCTACGCCGCCGCTCAAGCCCGTCCGCCTCCTCTCCCCCACTCTCTGGCGTTGCCATGGTCCGGCGAAAAATCACCACATACGCTATGCTCGCCGGAGCATCGGAGGCGGATCGCGGAGGAGATCCAGTCAAGGTGCGTCGCCCGCATCGCTGTCGGGCTGCCTCCGGACTCCTCGGAGGAGGATGAGGAGGAGGAGGGGAGCAGCTGCCGGAGCCGATGGAGGTGACGGATCTGGAGGAGGACGAGGCGGAGCAGCCTGCTCCTAGGTTCAACATGGTGGAGGCAGAGGCGGAGTTAGCCTTTGCCCAAGCCGCGAAGATGGCGGAGTAGCAGGCCATCTTGGAGCCCGTACATGATGAGGCCAATGTGGTGGCTAACCGGCAGTTCCTCCGACAGGAGTAGGCGGCGTCCGACGCGCTCTTCGTCGAACTTGACACGGAGATAGAGGAGGAGGAGGCTGGAACGGAGCAGCTGGAATTGCAGTTGCCGCCCATGTACCCGAAGCCGGGCACAGAGATAGTCGACATCTCCGACGAGGGGTAGCTAGATCATATATGTAGTACGTAGGTTTTTTTGTTTGCATGCTTTTGTATAAATTTGAGAATGTAGTATGAGATGTCGGGATGTAGTTGTGCTAATTTGAGGAGTGTCCGATCACTGCTCGCGGACGTTTGAGAAGTCACATTTGTTACATGCGGCTGTAGAAGCTCTTAGGCTTAACATCTATGAAGAAAAACATTGGATAGAGGTCGCGTCAATTAATTTGAATAGGAGGGATTACAAGAATATATCGTGTAACGGGAATGACTAGATACTCAAAGATGAACCACCTTCTTTAG